TTTTTTTTTTTTTTTTTTTTTTTTTTTTTTTTTTTTTTTTTTTTTTAAGTCAAGCACTTAGGACCGAGCTGGCCATACAGACTCAGGCCTGTAACCCTAGCATTTGTGAAGCCTTAGAGGCAAGGAGTTGGTGATTAGGCCATCTCTGGCTGAAAATGATTTTGAGCTGCTTCCTGTAAATCCTGTCTCAATGGGTTGGCCTGGCCATGGCCTGGCTAGCATCATCTGAAGTCCTTACCCACTGCTCTGCCTCATGTAGGCTGCGGAGCTGAGATTGGCTCTTCCTGTAGCTGTGTCCCTGCCACCAAAGCAGGTGTGTTCAAGTGCGCTGACCTCCCCAGTGTCCATTTGCCTACATTCATGTTGCTGTGGGCTCTGTCCTTGGTCTCCAAGAACCTGTTTTGGGAAAGCAGCTCTGCCTGCGGTCATGGACCCTGGGCCAGGAAGCTCAGCCTCCCAGCACAGCTCTCCTTGGTGGTGGTGACCGCTCAGCCCATCCTGTGCTTCTGCCCGAGCTCAGGCAACCTGGCCCGGAGCACAGTATGAGCAGCAAAGCGGGGTACCCTGTAAGGTCTGCGCTGGGTGTGGGCCGGGGCCACGCTTCTGATCCTGCTATATTTGAGGCAGGAGATTTAAAAGTTGACAGCAAGAACATGCAGCTTTAGAGAGGATGCCCAAGGCAAGCCCTCGGTTCCCGTCCTAGCACTGCATAAAAGGAACAGTACAGTGTTCGATCGGTTTGTCTCCCAGCAGACTGTGGGGACTGGGTAGGTCAGGGCGGCCCAGGGGCTAGCTTTGCGGTGTCCACTAGCCTGGGAGGACCGCAGAAAGGGAAGCACAAGGCAGGCCAGGGTGAGGGCGCTGTAGCCCTCCCTACTTTTTGGTCTTTACTGTCTTTGTCTCACACCCACCAGTATCTGAAGAAGCTGCACACACAGGAGCGGGCAGTGGAGGAGGTGAAGTTGGCCATCAAGCCATACTACCAGAAGAAAGACATCACGAAGGAGGAGTACAAGGACATCCTGAGGAAGGCTGTCCACAAGGTGGGGCAGGGGGACCGTGGGGATGGGGACCTGGGTCCAGGAGAGGGGCATAGGGTAGGCCCAGTCACTGAGTTGAGGTCGAGGGTGCCCTGGGGCTGGCAGGAACTCAGTTGTTCCTGTCTCTAGATCTGCCACAGCAAAAGCGGGGAGATCAACCCTGTCAAGGTGAGCAACCTGGTGAGGGCCTACGTCCAGCGCTACCGCTACTTCCGCAAGCACGGTCGCAAGCCGGGGGACCCTCCAGGACCCCCTCGGCCACCCAAGGAGCCAGGACCCCCAGACAAGGGTGGCCCAGGCCTGCCCCTTCCCCCTCTTTGAGACTCCATACCCTGTTCCTGCGCCTCTGAGATTCTGGACATATTTATGGCTCCGCTTCTCCACTATGCCCCCCCACAGTGGGATGATGGGGGAGGGTTGTTGTGAGGAAGAGGAGAGCCCCCCTGCCCGCCCCTGCCCGTTGTCCTCGCCCCTCAGCCTGCCCCACAGCCCAGCCCTTCTGTCATGCCCCTTCCGATTTCATTAAAGATTTCATGAACTACAGGCGGGCGTAGTGGTGCACCTTTGAAGCAAGTGGATCTCTGTGAGTTCAAGGACAGCGAGGCCTACAGAGATATCCTCTCCCCCCCCCCCCAAATCATGAAATGCTCTTTTCTTTTCAGGAGGAAAGAGTTGGGGTGAGGGGGTCACCATGAAGGAGTCACACCAAACCCAGGAATGTGGTGGTGACAGGAGGCAGGGCCCAGCCTTGAGCAGCAACTGAGCTGTTTTGTGTGCATCGGAGCTGTCACCATTGAGTGGCCTCTAGTGTCAGCAGCCCTGTAAGGATGCAGTGACTTAATACATGATCCTAGATAGAAGGCAGCTGAGGGCAGCAAGGGCTACATGGCGAGTCAGCCTGCACCACAGCAGCTTGCCGGGTGCCACTCATCACTACTGAGGTCGCTCACGGCTTGGGACAGCGTCCCCTGGCTCCACGCAGGTAGAATGTGCAGCCCTGGGCCCGTCCTGTCTCTTGCCTCCTTGGCAGTACTTTGTCCGGGACCCTGGGGAGAGGCCAAGAGCTGGCAGGCGTGCTGTATTTTCTCCTGGTGCCTCACTCGCCAAGCACCTGAACCCCTGCTGCAGATGGGAAAACTGAATAACCACCAGCCTAGGGTCAGCGTAACAGCACACAGAGGTGACGGTAGCGTAAACTGCTTTATTGGTGGCAGCTGAGCAGAGCTCAGGTGTCCCCGCCGGCTTGGAAGTCCATGTCCTCCACCAAGTCCTGGAGGTAGGCCTTGTACTGGTCGGAGGTGAGGGAGATAGGCTGGCTGTTGGAGATGTGCAAGTCCACGGTTTTCAGCGAAGAGGCTCCCCCTTCCCGGGCCATCTCTAACAGCTCCTTGAGACATGTAGGAACAACCTGCAGGAGGCAGGACAGATCCCCAGTCAGCTAGGAGCCCCAGCTTAACCCAGCGTGGACCCTCATCCAGCCTAGTGCTGCTAGGGAAGTAGCTACCCCCTCCCCCGCAGTCGTAACTAGCAGGGGCTCCTGGGAGCTAGCTGTAAGCTTCAAAGGGTGCAAAGACTTGCAGCTGCCAGCTACAGGTCTAGAATCAGAATAAGCTCTGGAAGGCCAGGCCCTGTGGAAGACACAAGAGACTCGTGGGTGGGGAACACTGGCCGCAGAGGCCTGTTGGAGGGGCGGGGCTCCTGGGAGCTTTAGTCCCTGGCTGCTGCAGGTTCCTTCACAAGTGGACCCTCCCGTCCCTGGGGGGGGGGGGGCACAAGACAGCTGGCACCTTGACCATCACAAGCCTCTTGACCCACGGCTGGTCCTGGGGCCACGACTCCCCCACACAAAACCATAGAGTGTAGCGTGGGGACTGTCCGCTTCCTTCCATGAAGGCGATCAGATCTGGGAATCCAGGAGTCATGTCAGAAAAGAAAGAATGACCCCCGCCCCTCCCCACACACTCACTTGCTACCTTCCCTGGTAACGCTCTGCCTATCTGGGAAAGTCCCGCAGAACAAATGAAGTGGCCCTCATCCATGTCCTCTCCCTTCTTCAGCAGCACTGTGGGGTGAGCTGTCAGCCCACTCCACTCAGCAGTGAGGAGGGTGGGCCTTAGTAGCCAAGGAGGCTGTTGGGACTCGCTGTGGTTCTCTAAGTTGGCACTGTAATGCCAGCCCTTGAGGATACAGCAGGAGGAATGAGAGTTCAAGACCAGCAGAGGCAGCAAGAGTGAGACCCTGCCTCAGAAAACTGAAGTATCTAATATAAATGCAGCTTCAAAGTGGGTATCTGCTGATGCATGGCATCCGGGCACTAAGGAAGTAGGCTAGAGTGAGACCCTTTCTCAAAACAGCTTTCGAATTTTCCTTCAGCATGTGGCTTCTGTGAGTTCCCAACAGCCCACGTGCTTGGCTAGTGGAAATCACTGCAGGCATGTGCCAGGCTCGCCTCTCCACGGAGCTCTGCTGCATGGCAGGGCCCTACCTCTGAGCCAAGCCCCCAGCCCCACCACCATTTCTGTGTCCACTATGAAATGGTTCCCAGAGCATCTTACGCAGGTTGGTGCCTGTACTGCGCTAGGTTCAACAGTTCCAGCAGCCAGTCTCTGGACTCGGCGGTACACGCCTCTCTGCCACAGAGCTCAGTAGCAGGCTCTGAATTCAACCAACCACCATGGTCTATCAATTCCCATACGGTACTCACCTGCCACAAAGGGCCTGAGGTCGAACACGCCTCCATCCTTGTCCTTGGGGACCTCTCCATGTGGCCCTCTCCCGACGTCTGGAAGCAGCTCCTCACCCAGAGCCCAGAAGGAATGGGCATGGCCCAGGCGCTGGGCCCAGAGACACTGCCCTGCCCGCCACAGTGCCAGCCCCTCGCCCAGCCCCTTGAGTACGTGCCTCACGTACTCCCTCGCGAGCTTGTCTGTCAGAAGCCCCTCAGGGTCTGGCAGGGTGACTGGCTGCCAGGGCAGTGTCCCGTTGTCAGTTGCGGCGCCCACCAGCCGCAGGCCCCCTGGGCAAAAGAGCGTCTGCTGGAAGACCTGGCGGCCCCGGTAGAAAGCAGTCACCTCGAACTCCCACTCTGAATGATGGTGTGAAGGGGAGAGATGAAGAGCACCCAGGGTGAGGACTGCTGTCCCTTCTGCAGCCCCTCCCACCCCACAGCTGGCACTCACGTTCCTCGGCTAGCAGCTGCCTCAGTGGATTTTCCTGGGGTGCTGGTTTTGGGAAGCTGTCCAAACTGGGACTTGGCAATAGCTGAGAGTGATCAGGAGCAATAGCCAGAACTGAGGACCCCTCATCTGGGAGGGATCCCAAGACCATGTCATCTAGTAATTCCAGGAGGTCTTCCTGGAGGAGGAAAGAGCTGCTAGTCAATAGCCTGAACTGAGACAAGAGGGTAGCAGACTGGTGAAGGAATGGAGGTCCAGGGGTAAGGGCTGGGGGCGGGGAGGAAGAGGTGGCCTAATGGACAGGGCAAGGATGAGGCACAGGACTGGTGCCTCCTCACCTGGGGGTCAGACGGACTGTTTTTGCCATTGGTGTCAGGAGAGGTGTCCAGATGTACAAAGTCCCTTGCTCCTGCCCAGAGTGGCGGTGGGTATAGTGAGTGGCAGAGACCCTCCTGATTTCAAGAGTTTTGTGACCCCAAGCAAGCCTGCTTACACACACCTGGAGTCACAAACTCATACACTTTATGAGGGTCAAAAGGGTCCTTGCTTCGGTCATCGGCTAATCGCAACACTTCTTTTCGGTTCAGGGCTGACCGGAAATTCCTCTTCCAGGTTGACAGGTCTGGCTTATCCTTTCCTGGGGTGTAGGCACCACTGGCTTCGGCCCAGGCCTGACACACCAGTGATCGCAGGACAGTAGGGAAGATGAGTGAGACTCGGCCCTGACTGAGGTCCTGACACCCACCATGTTCCATACTTTTGTGGTCCCTGACCCAAGTTCTCATATTCACTGAGCCCCTAGGTCGGACATCCTCATCCCTATCCACTAGTGTCCACACCCAAAAGAAGTTTTTCTTTTTGGTTCTGAAACAGGGTCTCACACACTACAACCAAAGCTGGGATCCGACTTGTGGCCCTCCAGCTGCTACCCCAGATGCTGGGATTACAAACTTGGGCCGCCATGTCCTAAGCCAGCCTTCTAGGGCCTACTTGGTGTTTCACTCCTAGGACACAAAGTAGCAGTCCATGCTGCTTTGGCGGCTGATAACCCCATCTTTAAGGCAGTCTCAACTTTTCTCAAGGTTTTAAGGGCTCTAAAACCAAGAGCCCACCCCCAAAGATTTCCCATCCTCTAGAACAGGTTCTCAACCCTAAAATTATTTTTGTTGCTACTTCATAACTAATTTCTGCTACTGTTGTAAATTGTGATGTAAATATTTTCCGATGAAAGGTCGTTTCAACCCACAAGAGGGCGTCATGACCCACAGATTGAGAACCACTGCTGTAGAACGTTCAGAGACCCAACCTGGCTTTCAGGGTTCTATTCCTGGAATCTGCCAATCAGTTCCCTCCAGTCCCGTCCCACCTTCAATAGTAAGATCCCGCCCCTGACGCCCGGCTCTTGGCCCTCAGCACCTGGAAGATGCCAAAATCAGCCATCTGTGCATCCTGTCGCAGGCCATGCTTCCACGGGATCCGGAACCTCGTTCGGCTCTCGTCCAGCCAGGCCACGCCTTTCAGCTGCCCCAGGTCCAGCTGGGACACCAGCCAGGGCAAGATCCGTGGTTTCGAGGTTCCCATGCTCCGACCTCCGGGCACGTCCTGAGTCTGCATGTCAAGGGGCAAATGCACTGGAAGCTCTCCGACGCGCCACAGCTCAAGTCCTCCTTCACTCAGGCTTTCTTGGGGACAAAAGGGAATTCCAATGGAACTGCCTTTCCTTCCCCAGTCTTCTGTAGAAACTGTACCCACAGGTCTCTTCGCTTTTCTAACTGCAGACCGCTCTCTGTTATTCGAAGCGGTACCCCACTTCCAGGGCGGGCCCTCTCTCCCTACTCTATTCAGGACCGTGACTGCTCCCTCACAAACCTCACCCTTGCAGAAAACCCTTATCCATTTCCAGGTCTTCTGCCAGGTACCCCCAAGTGCTGTCGCCTCTCTCCAAGCTTCTTCTTCTTCTTCTTTTTTTTCCTATATTGTTTTTTATGGATGTTTTGAGACGGGGGGGGGGGGGTCTTAGCATGTGGCACAGGCTAGCCTTCAACAGCGATGTAGCCAAGGCTTGTCTTCAACTCACTGTGAAACCCAGGCTAGCCCGGGACACACTATGTAGGTCTGGCTGGCTTCGAATGCCCTCTGTAACTCAAGCAAGCCTCAAACTTACTCTGGCCTTGAACCTGCGGCACTCACGGCCTCTGGCCTGGGTGCCGAGCCTGCAGACTTAGGTCTACAATGCGTGGCGCTTCTGGTTGTCGGTGGTGGAGCTCCTGCGCCCCATCCTGCACCCTGAGGCCGCCACCCTCCCAGTTCTTCCGTGTTACCTACCGGGGGAGGAATCGCGCGCTCTTGGGGCGCTGGTGCCAGCACTGGCTTTGGGGCTCCCAGGAGTTCTGAGACTCGCAGCGACGCAACCCCCCTTCTTGTCAGCTAACCCTCTGAGCGGTGGGGCTTTCTTTTGTAACGATATTTTGAGATAAAAACAATTTTCTCATAATTCAGATGAGAAACTCAAAAGCTAGACGAGCGTTTCGGCTGAGCGCAGCCCAACTCCCTCAATGCCCTTTTTTGGCCTTCCTCCCATAGGCATGCTGGGAACGCCATATGCAAATAAGGCTGTCATAAAGCCCACCCATTCGACGTTGGGGCGGTTACCGGGTCCGCTCAATGCGCAAGCGCGGGAAAGTTGAACTTCCGAAGAAAAGTTTGTAGAGATTGAGTGAAAGCGTGGGCGCCGACACGTCTGGGACGGAACCCCAAACTAGGTGAGGGGCGGAACCCCGAATCAGGTGAGCGGGTTGCCAGGGAGGGAACCGAGTTGCAGGAGCGGCCACAGCCAGTCCTGCCTCTTTGACGGACGTCCAAGTACCTCGGGGCTCCAGATGCCAGCCAGAGGTAGTTGGAACTACATTTCCCAGCAGGCTGCTCGGTACAAAAGCAGGGAAACCGGGCCAGTGTTTGTCGCAAAGCATACTAGGATTAGTAGTTCCCTATTCTCTACGTTCTTCAGTAGCTTGATAAGTTCCTCCTTCAGCATCTAGGGCTGGGAGGGAGCTCCAGATCCCCTTCCCGCTCCTGGATGTAGAAGTCCAAGCACTCAGCTACCTCCTTTTTTTTAGACCCAATAATTCAAACCCTTTTTCCTCAACGGAATCAACTGTCCCACTGGCCCTTAGCCAACTTCTAGGATCTCCTGAGTTCTGGCGCTCTCCTCATTCAGGGACTCGGAAGTTTTGAGTTTATCACTGCCCTTGGGTACATCCTCTCTTCTCCCTCAGGCGCCTCCATGGCCGGCTCTGAAGAGCTGGGCCTCCGAGAGGACACCCTGAGGGTCCTGGCCGCCTTCCTTAGGCGCGGAGAAGCTGCGGGGTCTCCTGTCCCAGCTCCACCCAGGTGAGTGAATTACTCTTCCACTCCCGCAGTGCCAGCCTTTGATTAGAAGGTCTTCCTGAGTCTTGATATTGATCCCAGCTTATCTACTCCCTTCGGAACTGACCCCATATACCAGTCTCAAGTTTCAAGAGTGATCTTCCGTGAGAGGTCGAAGGAATTGCTTGCTCAGAATGCTTTAGGTTGACTCCGAGGTTCTTGTCCCCAGGAGCCCTGCCCAAGAAGAGCCAACAGATTTCCTGAGCCGCCTTCGAAGATGCCTCCCATGTCCCCTGGGGAGAGGAAACCCTGCCCCGGAGTCCTCTCGGCCCTGCTTCCTGCCCCTCCGTCCCTGCTATGGTTCCGAGCCTGGTAAGAGATTTATCCAGGTTACCTGTGAAACTTTCAGGGCTAGGAGCTTTGGTTACAAAAGTCCAGACAGTACCCATTACAAGGTTAACACTGCTCAGCTTCAGCACAAGCCATAACCATTTTCCTTCCCTGTTACAATTCTTTCTATGGGGTAAGGGCAGTGTTGAGACATAGTCACATTTGCTTGAGCCATCCCACCTCAGTCTACCCCCTACTGGGATCACAGGCAGGCATCCTAAATTAGAGCTCCAGTTTAGATTTCTGTAGGTGACCAGAGGGAGGTGCTCTGGCACCCTCCTTAGGTAACTCTCTCTTTCCTTGTAACCCCAGTACCCCAACACAAGAGACAGGAGGCATGGTTGGCAATTACAACACCCTGGTAATGTGCCTGGGCAAATCCTTTCTCCTCCTTGCTCCTCTTTGTAAAGTAGCAGAGAAGGACTGGAAGAAAGGACTTGCTCAGTGAGGATAAACAGACCTCAGTGTGGTGACACATTGTTGCAGTCAGCAAGCACTTGGGAAGCTGAGGTAGGAGGACTGCTGTGGGCTTAAGGCCAGCCTGGACTACAACAATGTAGTTGAGCCAGTAGACTGCCTGCCTACTACGCACAAAGCCTCATATTCGGGTCCCAACAGCATGTAAGTGAGGACTGATAGCACATTTTAGGAAGTAAAGAAAGGAGGCCCTCTTACAGGCTCCAAGGGCATCAGGACACATGCAGGCAAAACACCCACAACCCATCAAATGAATTAAAAAAAATAAAAATAGAAGCTTTGGATCTCATGGTTCTAGAGTTACAGAAAGTTGGGAGCTACCATGTGGGTGGTGGGAATTGAACCTATGTCTGCTGGAAGAAAAGCCAGTGCTTTTAACTGCTAAGTCATGCAACTTCTGATGTTCTTTTTTGGCCTTCACAGGAACTAGACTCCCGAGTAGTTCATAGACATACATGCAGGCAGAACACCCATCCATGTAAATGATTATAAAGAAGTGTGCCTGGTTAGATGGCTTACGTAAGAGGAAAATAAGTCCTATGCTCAGTTGCTGTTGTGGGAACTGAACAAGGGGTACGGTGGTGGTGGCAGGAATGCTGAGTTTGCCTTATTAGATGTGATAATCTCCAGAGCGCAGCTGGAGTGTTCTCAGTCTAATTTGAGGGTGCAACTTACAAAGGCTGAAGATCTTAGCACCTTTTTTTTTTTTTTTTTTTTTTTTTTAAGACAGGGTTTCTCTCTGTAGTTTTGGCTGTCCTGGACTTTGCAGATCAGGCTGGCCGGGAACACACAGAGATCCGCCTACCTCTGTCTCCCAGAGTGCTGGGATTAAAGCCTGAGCACCACGACCAGCTGCAGTTTTACCCTTTTGTGAAGTGGAAATTGTTGCTGTCTGGCAAGATAGTTGGGAGGAGGAGAGGACCCGTAAGGACACGCTGTTCTGCAGACAAAGTGTGTTGATCCTTTCCACCAGGCCCAGCTACTTCAGACTTCTATGCCCTGGTTGCCCAGCGTCTGGAACAGTTGGTCCAAGAGCAACTGAGATCTCCACCCAGCCCAGGTAAGCATCAGAGGAGCCTGGGAAGCAGTGAAGGTAAGAGGGAAACCAGGGCCCCTCCCCAGTCCAATTCTCTTCTGCTCCCCAGAGTTCCAGGGACCCCCATCTACGGAGAAGGAAGCCCTGCTAAGGAGACTGGTAGCCTTGCTGGAGGAGGAGGCAGAAGTCATCAACCAAAAGGTGACCAGCCTCTGCTCCATGCTTTTGAGAGGACAGTTGTGGGATAGGGAGCAGGAGCTGGAGCCACGTGGGGTTCCAGTGTTCCTATGAACACCAGAACGTCTTTACAGGAGCCTTGGAGCCCTCCCACAGTAGGACTTTAAATAAGTGTCCTCCGTGGGACATCATGGGAGTCCAGTCAAGAGAAACCACCAGAGGCATTAGGGATTGGCTTTGTGACAGAGCCTTTCTATAACATGCAGAGGTCCTTAACTCTGTCCCCTATCACCCTCTCTCCCAAGTAAAATACTCAAAGACAACGAACAGCAAACAAAAGAAGTGGCCAGGTACATGACTGGCAGGGGGAGGTATTAAAATGAATTGTAATGGAGCATGGTGACTCCTAACCTTCCTCCCAGCGCTCTGGGAGTATGAGGCAGGAGCACTGCCACTAGTTCAGTTATCCTTGGCACCGAGCATGATGGCACACGCCCTTAGTCCCAACACTTGGGAGGCAGAGGCAGCCAGATCTCTGTGAGTTCAAGGCAGGCCTAGTTTACAAAGTGAGTCCAGGACAACCAAGGCTACACAGAGAAACCCTGTTTCAAAATATCCTAATAAGTAAGTAAATAAATAAATGAAAAAACAAACAAACAAAAACCTTCAAAGTTATCCTTGGCTACAGAGAGTTCCAGGACAGCCAAACCCACATAGGGAGACCCTGTTTTGACAAAACCAGGTGGGATATGGGTGCACATACCTTTAATCCCAGCAGTTGGGACAGAGGCAGGTGGATATCTATGAATTCATGGCCAGCCAGAGCTACATCCCTGATTGACCACAGTAAGAATATGGAGTTTCCTGGAATCTGGCTTTCAAAGTTGAACAGTACTATAACAGCAATTATCTAGTGGAAAACACAGCTTTAGGGACTCCTTTTCTTTTTCCCCTCCCCATCTCAAGACAGGGCTTCTCTGTGTAGCCCTGGCTGTCCTGGAACTCACTCTGAAGAGCAGGCTAACCTTGACCTCACTGAGATCCGCCTGCCTCTGCCTCTGCCTCTGAAGTGGCAGTGCCACCAGCTCATAGGGACTCTTAACTAAATGAGAATTTACTATTTATAACTCAGAACTGTACTCAGCTCTGATTCTAAGTACCCTTTCTGAAGGAGTCTACTGGCTCAGGCCATAGAGGCTACTTGGGTGGGTGGGGCTTGGTGCTTGGATACCCCACACTCTGGGCTTGTCGCTGTACTGACACTGCCCTTCTGCCCTCAGCTGGCATCGGACCCGGCTCTGCACCGTAAACTGGCCCGGCTGTCAGCAGGCTCTTTCGCCCGCCTTGTGGAACTCTTCTCCAGCCGGGATGGCAGCTCCTCCTCAAGCTGCATGAGCCCTTCGCTGCCATGTCCAGCGCCACCACCACCATCCCCAGAGCCATTGGCCCGCCTGGCCCTGGCCATGGAGCTCAGCAGGCGTGTGGCCGGGCTGGGGGGGGACCCTGGCCAGCCTCAGCGTGGAACACGTACACAGCTTCATGCCCTGGATCCAGGCCCATGGGGGCTGGGTAAGTCACACATACCTGCCAGGTTTCGGGGTGTGACTTACCTGCTCTCTGATAGCTCTTCCATTTGTTCCATCATGCTTATTGAGCACTTGCTGTATGCCAGGCACTGTGCTAATGAGGTTTGAGGCCCACCTGAACCAACAGTGAGACTAGCTCACCGGACTCCCAAGTCTCCTCATCCAACTCATTGTCCTCGGATGGTTGTGCAGTGGAGAATGGATTCTGCAGGGGTGCATGGGTATACATGTAGTGCCCTTAGTCTCCAGCTCTTCATGCCAAAGGCTCGTCCCCTGGACCCGTTTCCTATGTTGAGTATCGACCCATTGAGGTCTTCCCTGGCCTGTTTATTATTTTATACACGTCAAATAGAAGCAAATCTGCTTGGCACGATGTCATACTTTTAGTCCCAGGCCAGAGTCAAGCCCAGCCTAGTGTGCATAGGGAATTCCAGACCAGCTAGGGCTACATAGTGAGGTTTTGGGGAGGGGTATGTACCCTGGGGGGAGAGGAGTGAGGAGGATGGTATGTGGTAGTACAGGCCTATCATCTCAAGCACCAGAGAGGCCGAGGCAAAAACACCTAGGTTTAAAGTCATCCTGGGCTACAGCGTAGGTTCAAGGTCATCCTAGACAATTTAGTGAGATCTTGTCTCAAAATATGAACAAAAGAAGGTTGGGATATAGCTCAACAGTAGAGTCCAGTACTTTGTGAGAGAAAAAAAAAAAGTGTGTTCTAGAGACACAGCCACACATGGAATAGCCCTTGATCACCCTGAGATGAGGACTCTGAGAATACAGTGTGCACAGCCCCATCCTGCCTATTTTAGCTAGACCAGGAAAGGCCCGGAGATGGGTGCCAGTCCCAGCAGGAAGGACTCTGGATTTCACGGGTTGATGAGGCTGCAGGTTCTCTCAAGACTGAGTGTGAGTACCAGGTCAAACATGCTGCTGCGAGCATCTGGGGCTCATCCTGCAGCCCGGGGACAGGGAGGTGAGGAGTGACGGAATTCAGATTAAAAAGCAGAGTGTGGAGAGAAAGGATGGGCATGCGGAGCTCAGCAAAGAAGCTAGCAATACCCATTTCTCTTAACAGAGATGACAGGAGAGCCGAAGACTGACTGGGCAGGGACGCCATGGAGTTAAAGGGCAGTCCTTAGAGCAGAGACCAGCACAGAAGTGCCAGGAGTCTGTGCCCCTCTCAAAGGGTCTGTCCCTCAACTCCTGGTCTCCGCTGTCTTTCTGTCCCTCTCTCTGGCTGTCTGCGTCCCTCTCGAGGAGTCTTAGACTCCTCTGCCTGTCTTCCCAGGCCTCCGCCATTTTCTGTCACTGCAGTGGTGTCAGTAGATGTCCTCGTCAGGTCACGGGCTCTTGTCTCCTGCAGGCAGGCATCTTGGCCATCTCACCGGTGGACTTGGACTTACCCTTGGACTGAGCACTTCCTGAAACGGCTGCCGGCTGACCTCAGGCTCTGACAACGCACATTCTCCCCCCGCCGTATTTTTCTTTTCTTTTTTGCCAAAAATACTGTTTAGAAATGTCTCTGCATTAAAAGTTTTGTTCTCTAACTAGAGTGTTGTAGTAAGTTATAAAAAGAAAGTGTGTTGGGCTATACGACGTTATTTATTATCAGCCCTAAGATTATCACGGTGGTATTACTTAACCCACTATCTCGAATAAGACACAGACAGCTGTTAAGAGTTTATAGTCGCCTTATTTACCTTGTGCTGGGCAGATATTTCACCTCCACTGGGTCCGTGTCCTCACCATCCACCTTAATCCTCCTCATCTGAACTGCCTTCCATCTATAATCCCATGGTACTTGCTTGTTCTCTTCATCTGGGCCTTTTCACACCGTTATTGGAGTCCTTCCTCTCCACCTACATGTTTTGGTTTTTTTTCTCCACACTAACCCATCGTGATGTCCTCTTTCCTTCTCTTCTCTTCTCTTCCAATCTGTCTGTCCCATGAGTGTCCTGAACCCAAAAGCCCAGGAACCTTTGCCAAGCCTACCCCATTCTGCTCTGCCCAGTCAGCTCTTTAATCAACCAATCAGATATAATGATTTAGGCAACAAGGATAGGTTTAGGTGAGAACATGCTCTTCTGAGCAGGGACAAGATCTTGGGGGCCAGTAATTAACATCAGAATACACAGCACCAGGCCCACCCCCAACACTAGAGCACTAAAGTGTTTGAGTTTACGTGTGTGTGTGTGTGTGTGTGTGTGTGTGTGTGTGTGTAGATGAAAGGTCAAGAGTGGGGACTTCCTTTATCACAAGCCATCTTTTTTTTTTTTTTTTTTTTTTTTAATGACAGGGCCTCTCTATGTAGCCCTGGCTGGCCTGCAGTTCTGATTCTTAAGATATACACTGGTGTGGCCCACTCCTTTAGTCCCAGTACTTGGAAGGCAGAATGGGGTGGAACTCTGAGTTGGAGGCCAGCCTGACCTATACAGGGAGTTACAGGACTGCCAGGGATATACTGTGAGAGCACCTCAAAAACCACAAGCAAAAAAATATTAAATGTCATACGTGTGAACATATGGCTACATGTTTGTTAGGGTCCAGGGATAGCCACACAAACCACTAAGATCTCAGCCACACACGGTTTATTGAACACACGCCCCAAGACTGACCAGGGACACAGCCCAGACTCAGTGCTAAGACTGCGACCCTGAATGCTTTCCAGAGTCAGTTTATAAAGGCAAAACCACAACTGGCTTATACATGAGTGTAGAGTACTGTAGCGTGGTCACCTCCGACCCACGTTACTTTGGTTAACTAGACGAAGCAATTCCAACTTGCCTTTACTGTGATTGGTCCTAAGTGGAGCTTGTGGTCAGGGCCAGCTGTGGGAATTTCCAGGGACAGCAAGGCCACAGAGTGTGCCAGGAATAAGAAAACCACTGAACCACTGCAGAGTATGCATCAACTTGACCCTACAGAAAAGAGTTCTCTGTGCCAGCACCAATAATATGAAGTGGCTAGTGGCCCTGGAACCAAGTGGCTCCAGTTATGCCAGAAGAGTAGGTCTCAACAGTATGTGCACTGAATGTGTGCGGTGTCTGCAGAGGCTACAAGAGGGTTAACGGAGTCACCCCCAAGGCCTTTTTATGTACGTACGTATTTGTGTGTGCACACATGCAGGGAAGGTATTAGAAAATGACATATACCCTAGAGCTGAGGTTTCTAGAACAAATGATGGTGGCTCACAACCGTCTGTGATGGAGTCTGATTCCCTCTTCTGGTGTTCGAGAGGACAGTACACTCATGTACTTTAAACAGGTCTTTAAACAACAAAAAAGAACAAGCGTTTTCTTAACCACTGAGTACAACCTCGGCTTACAGATGTCTACAAGATTTAAATTTAAAATTACAGGTACAGGTTTGTGGGGGGTGAGGGGCATGTGGATGTCCCGAGAGACCAGAGACCTGGAGTTACGGGCAGTTGCCAGCCATCTGACAGGGAGCCGGAAGCTGGTGCTTAGACTGAGCCTCTCAGCCCCTGCTTGACTGCTTTTGTAACCCCGGGGAACAGCTTGTGTATGTATGGTTCTGAGATTCTTAGCCTTGTAAGTTTTCTGGATTCCCAAGAATTTCCCCTCCTCTTCCTACCTTCCAATATGGAAGAAACAGATGATACACACCTAGCTTGTGGCAATGCCCAGCTGCACTTTTTCAGCTAGGGCAGTGGTCCTCAACCTTTATTCCAGCTTCTCATGTTGTGGTGACCCCCCCCAACATAAAAGTATTTTGTTACTTTTTAACTGTAATTTTGCTACTGTAATGAATCGTGATGTAAGTATTTCTTTCTTTGAGGGGAAGGAGGTTTTGAGACAGGGTTTTTCTGTGTAGCCTTGGGTGTCCGGGCACTCTGTGGAGCAAGCTGGCCTCGAACTCACAGGGATCCAGAGTGCTGCGATTCCAGCCATGTGCCACCATGCCTGGCTGTGTTTTCTGACGGTCTTCGGCGACCCACAGGTTGAGAACTGCTGAGCTGGGCACACTCTAGCAATAGGCTTGGTGTCCAGCGCTGCTTTGGTAGAACTGAGGTTGGTGGAGGGTAGAGCTGCGGGTAGAGGAGTGACATGTCTCAGAGGTGTGGCCACTGCACCTTAAGCCCTGCAGGGCTTGATGCACCAGGCCTGTGATCCCAACACTTAGGAGGAATCTCAGCTACACAGCGAGTTCAAAGCCAGTGTGGGCTACATGAGACCTTTGTTCAAAAGCCCACACTTGGGGCCAGGGCAATGGCTCCATCAGTACAAAGGGTTTGCTGCCTAAGCATAAAGAGCTGAGTTCAGTTCCCAGCACATGCCAGTCATCCCAGCACTCCGGGGGCAGAAACAGGACCTTTGGGACTTGCTGCCCAGTTTAGCTGAGAGTAGTAGGCTCCAGACTCACTGAGAGACCTTTTATTTTTATTTTTCTTCAAAAAAACAAGGTGGTGGTGCTTGGCAAGGCACCACATGCCTTTTAATCCTTTTCTAAATGAAAAGAGGGGCGCCATGTAAAATGGCACAGACTCATGAGGGTGGCAGCAGTCGCAGGAAACTAGATGGGACCAGTAAAGCTGAAATGAATGGAGGTGGCTGAAGGACTGAGATATCTTCCTGGGTGTGCTGGAAGAAGCCATAAGGTCATGGGCAGAGGAGCTAGTAAGCTGTAGGGGATGGCGGGAGGGAGGGCCTTGAGCATTGATAAACTGTGGGAGGGAAAGGCTCTGGGCTGTAGAGATTTGTGGTAAAGTAGCGGGACAGGCTGGAGTCAATCAAGAAATCATACTGAGCCGGGCGTGGTGACGCAGGCCTTTAATCCCAGCACTGGGGAGGCAAAGATAGGCAGATCAGTTGACTTCCAGCACAGCCAAGGGCTACACAGAGAAGTCCTGTCTCGGGGGAAAAAAAAAAAAAAAAAAACGCGCTCGCGCGTACACACAAACACAAAAGAATTCATACTGGCTGGGCAAGGTTTTCTCACGCCTTAAATCCAGCTCTTGGGAGAAAGCAAAGTAATTGAATGTTAGGAGTCGGACGGAAGCAAGTCGGATGTGCACGCATACCTTCTGCGGAGGCCTGACTTGGAGGGGCTCATTTGGGAGTTTAAAGGATCTTATGCTTGGACCAAGGACTGATGGGACAGAAGGCAAAAGGCCGATGTGTCCATTCTCAGTTAAGGAGTAACTCTTTGCAGATTCAGGGAACCTTCCTAGAGGAGGTGGCATCCAAATTGTCGGTGACTGACGCGTAGGAGTTGGCCAGACAAAGGATGGATGATAGACGTTTCCCGCAGAGGACCTACAAGCCACGAGGAGGCCACAGGTCTTCAGAACTTGGCGCCGTCCGTACAGGGGTGGGAATCATCGCACTGGCGCTCACGGCCATTCAAGCTGGTCTCGGAACCCCACACTAGAATGCGCCCCCGTCCACCTCCAGGGATTAGAAGTTTCTCTAGAGCTCAACGTACCCACGCGCCCTAGTTCTTGCAGAAAGCCTCCCAACAAGGGAGACGCCATGGTGATGACTGACATTCCTGAGGGCCAGTGGCGGCTGCCCAAAGGCGGCTTGTCTACTCGTGGGCCAATGGCCTCTGTGTTTCTTGGCCGGTCGCTTGGACAGGGTGGAGAAAGAGCCGCGGCCGTCGCCTTTGCTCAGCCAATGGCAGCGAGGGAGAAGCGGACCATCTTAATGATAGACAGCTCCGTTTTCCGACGTCCGCTCAGCGCGTAGCCCGCCGGGAAGCTCCGAGGCGGAGCTGGGAGGAAAGGGGCGGGAAGACCCGCTGGGCTCGACCCAATCGTCTCACGTGCTGGTGGAGACAGACGGACAGTTGTTCCCTTCCTAGCGGATAGGAGGGGGCGGGCCTTTGTACGCTGGGGGGGGCGGGCATTGTCAGGTTTGACCGACCCGTCTCTCAGCCAATCGCAGCGTGACACTCTCAGATGGACGGCTGTTCTGGCCAATGAGGACTTATGGCGGGGCACCGGGGGCTGGGCGGCGGACCCTCTGGTAAAAGGCGGTCCCCGGTCGGCGGGGGGAGCGAAGAGAAGGGGGGGTCTCGGAGGCCGGAGGACTCGGGTGAAGATGGCGGCAGCCGAAGCCGCGAACTGCATCATGGAGGTGAGTAGCTGGGCTCTCTAGGCCCGGGGGTCATCGCGCGACCGGCGCCCCACGGTCCGAACCGTGGGGACGGGGCCTTGGGTGTGTCGAGCCTCGCGTAGGTCCTCAAAGGAGGATGTGTTGGATGGTGACGGGGGTGACCTCGGCTCTCGGGGCTCTCGGGGCTTTGGGAGCCGCAGCCGAGCCGAGGACCGTCGCACGTGTCTGCGGGCCGTGGGGACCTTTCCGCTGGGCCGCACGTGGTGGCTCGGCGGAGCCTGGGGAGGGGGTGTGCCGCTCCAGGGCCCCCGCGGGCTCCACGTGCGGGACAAAGGCCCCGCCCCCGGGCCGATGACCTGGGCTGCGCTCACGGGGTCCTGGGGTCGCCGCCTGCCCTCCCAGGCTGGGCTGGGGACGCCCATGCGCCCTGGGCTCCGTGCACCCGCGTGGGTCCG